ACTTATGCCACAGTAGGAGCGCTCTCCCCGAATTTGGTGTTTCTAGGTCCAGCGGTTTGGCCTGGGCATTGATTTTACGGTGAGGGGACTTTCATATATATATAATATATATATATATATATGAGATACATATTGCAAAAATGGATGTCCCTGCTATAGTTCATTTTTTAAAACAATAAAACACAAAGATCAAATGGGTATGGATAGCCGTGTTAGTCTGTCTGTAGCAGTAGAAAAGAGCAAGAGTGCAGTAGTACCTTAAAGACTAACAAAATATGTGGCAGGGTCTGAGCTTTTCTGAGTCACTGCTGTCACACAGAGTCATTTTAGTCTATATGCAACTTTTATCTATTGCTGTTTATATTTTTATTCCTCCATATCTCATTCACTCAATATGACATTTTAAAACTATTAAAAACAAAAAAAAATCAATAGTGACAATCTGACACATGCTTAATTCTGCCTTGAAAATAAACAGGGCTTAAAATTGTTAAAATTATTCAACTGTGACTATAGATGTAAAATTTCCTGAAATTTTGAGGCCACAAGGGGAAAGTTTTTGTTCTTTTCTGTTTTTTCCAGGCCTTCATATCTCTAGTTGTGACTGGACAGGTCACACACACATAATTAAATAATTCTTTCAAAGGTTATATTTGGCCCCCAGATTCTGACCTGGATATAAGTGAAAAGTAAAGGTAAAAGCTCTCTTCATTTGGAATACTAAAATAAGCATTCCAGCCACCTATTTAATTTATTCTAGTTCATTTGTATTATGATTTTGATACTATTACATTTAAAAAAAACCTTTTTATCTAGCCAAACCTAATATGCATACTTCTATCAAATAAATGCCAAACTGGTTCTAAAGAACTAAACATAATAAACAGAACCCCAGATTTGCAGAAAAATCTGGAATGTTAAAAAATATATACTGGGAATTTAAATGCCCACCTAGATACTGCTGTTGCCATGGCCAGGCCCAGAGGCTTGGAGCCATGCCTGACACCATAGCTACAGCAGCTGGTAAGGGAAGGGAAGAAAAAAAGATGGGGATAGGTTGTCAGATAAAGGGAGATGGTAAGGTTGTCAGCCCCTAGGTGGAAGCAGGAGATCCCCCGATTTAGTGGGCTCCCGCCTGCCAACTGTCCAGTGGGAGATACCCCACCCTCAACAGCCACCACCCATCAGAACATCCCAGGGGTGATGACACCATGTGGAAGTGACATCATCACACCAGGGACACTGTGTGGTGATGCTCTGGTAACCATAGAGTTTTGCCCATATACCAGTGTCACCGTGTGATGCCCCTTGCGTGATGACATCACTTCTGCGTGATGTCATCACACCAGGGACATTGCACATGCAACATCACTCCTCCCACCCCCTGCCGGCCAGAGAAGAGGACCTGGCAACCCTAGGAGAGGGAAAGAAAGAGGAGGGATTGTCAGAGAAGGGGGGGGGGAGGTTGATGGAGGGGTGAGGGCAAGAGAGAGGGGGGTAGGTTGACAGATAAGGGGATGGGAGAGGGAGCTTGACAAAGAGGAGGTAAATTTTCAGATAAGGACTATGCTGGCCTTTGAGGGAGGACTTATTGCAGCCACACCTGGCAGCAACCACTAGGCGACTTGCTCCCAGGTAACTTGTATGACTCACCCAGGCCTGGCTGCTTACTACTATTTTAGACTAGCATCTGGGAGACCCAGGTTTCAATTCCCACTTTGCTATGGAAGCTCACTGGGTGACTTTGGGCCAGTTACACATGTTCATCCTAATCCACCTTAAAGGGTTGCTGTGAGGACAAAATGGAGGTGAGAAGAATGCTGTAAGCTGCTTTGAGTCCCCATTGGTGAGAATGGTGTGATATAAATGAAGTAATTAAATATAGCTGAAGATTGGGGCGGGGCAGCTAAAAGGAGGTTGATTTGGTGGGAGAGCAAGGAGAGAAGAAAGTAAGAAAAAGTAAATGTATTGAGGCTACCAGGAGAAGGGAAAGAGCATATGGAGGGGATAGAGGAGGAAAGTACAGTCCCCCCTGCAAGTCCTTGCAGGTTTCCCAGTGTACAACTGGACCTGGATCAGCTGGCATTGTGCAAATTCGTCAGACTTTTTGTGGGCAGAGGCTGCTGGGGGAAGGAACAAAGGAAAGCTGAAGACATGGGAGCAAATAAAAGTAGGATTGCTGGTGGGAAAGGAAGGAAGGAAGGAAGGAAGGAAGGAAGGAAGGAAGGAAGGAAGGAAGGAAGGAAGGAAGGAAGGAAGGAAGGAAGGAGCAGGAAAAGGCAAGCAGCTATAGTGGTTCCCAGCAGGTTTGCCAACTCCGAGTTGGGAAATTCCAGGTTTTGGAGTGGAATCTGGTAGTAGTTTGGGGAGGGGAAGGGTCACGGCTGGGTACAATGGCATAGTCCACCCTCCAAAGCAGAGGAACTGGCCTCTGTAGTCTAAAGATCAACTATAAGGTCAGGAGGTTTCCAGGACCAATCTGGAGAATGACTACCCTAGTTGCCAGGGAAGGGAAAGAAAAATAGTGAGGTAGAGGAAATTGAGATGCTTACTGCAAATCTTTGCAAGTCTCCCACTTGTTATTATAGAGCCACATGTCTTATCCCCCTAAACATTACAACAACCCTATAAGGCAAACCACATACAGTAATGAAGAAGGGATGAGGCCACCAAGCAAGTTCATAGCTGCTATGAGGCTTGAACTGGGGACTCCTGTAGTCAATAGTTCAGGTTTTTAGTTACTATGGAACATTAGTTCTTACTTTAAAATTGTTATTTCTAGGGCTACACCAAACATTGGCTTGCAAATACTTTCAGCAAAAACGATGTGTTTTTGATGGAACTGAATTATTTCCTGGAGGAGAAATCCTCTCTCCCTCTCCAAACATTGCTAATTTTTTGCCCACCTGTTTGTAGCCTGGTCAGCTGCTACTTTGGTGCCATTTTGCACCTTTGTTAGGTGCAAAATGTGATCACAGCCAATCAGGGAACAAGCACTGAATATGTCATGGTGCTGCACAGCCAATCAGATTTGGCTCAGTATCACTGAGACATAACAAAGGCCAACATGAATGCGAGCAACACTTGCTGCACTGATCATATGGTTGAGGACAGCCAGTTGGATCATCAGTTGCCCTCACTAGTTGCATAGGCAAATACTTTTGGTCTAAACAATTACTGAAAGGGGATGATTTTCATATTTGCCACATATGCAAAATGTGAGATACCTACACCCTTCCAGTTTAGCACTAATAAATAAATAATATATGAAATGTTGATTTAGACCC